CGCAGCCATTAGGAACAGGAATAGATATTAAGATTTGAACCTATCAGATACCGGTTACACCGGAATACACGGTTTCTGATAGGTTGAAATCTTAATATCTATTCCTGTTCCTAATATTTCTTCCATTGTGCGCAGGGCCTTACAAAAGGCGATAAGTCAGAAACTTTCAAAAAATATAACGCCTATACGCGGTCATTCTTATGATGATTGGCTGCGTTCAGCAGACTCAACAGTTTTGCAACCGTTTTATGATTGGCTGCGTTCAGCAGACTCAACAGTTTTGCAACCGTTTTATGATTGGCTGCGTTCAGCAGACTCAACAGTTTTGCAACCGTTTTATGATTGGCTGCGTTCAGCAGACTCAACAGTTTTGCAACCGTTTTATGATTGGCTGCGTTCAGCAGACTCAACAGTTTTGCAACCGTTTTATGATTGGCTGCGTTCAGCAGACTCAACAGTTTTGCAACCGTTTTATGATTGGCTGCGTTCAGCAGACTCAACAGTTTTGCAACCGTTTTATGATTGGCTGCGTTCAGCAGACTCAACAGTTTTGCAACCGTTTTATGATTGGCTGCGTTCAGCAGACTCAACAGTTTTGCAACCGTTTTATGATTGGCTGCGTTCAGCAGACTCAACAGTTTTGCAACCGTTTTATGATTGGCTGCGTTCAGCAGAACGTTCGTTTTGCAACTGTTGGAAGTTTCCTTCGCGCTAATTGGATCATACTTTTAGATCTAGAAGAATGGTCCTATCTCAGCAGACAATCATAAAACGGTTGCAAAACTGTTGAGTCTGCTGAACGCAGCCATTAAGTTAGGTCGCCGCTGCCATTTTTTCCAATATGAGTACTGATTGGTTGTCTACATCATGTGATCACAATGCCATATTGGGTGCATTCAGTACAATCACTCATTGAGCGCTTGCATCTTATTGGCATATTCCGTTAGAACTAAAAATATAGACCAAACAGAGCTCTCAGTGAGCGATCGTGGTATTGAATGCACCCATTTTTTTATTTGAAAACAAACTCCAGAATTTGTTTATCAATTATATAATCCATTATTTCATTTAGGAACAATTTTTATTTTATTAAGTGTTTTAACTCGTATTTCAACATTTAAAGAGAAAGAAAATTTAACAGAAAGAAAATACTGAATACTGGATTCACAAAGGTGGATTAAATATGTGCGAGTTTGTATAAGAACGCCTTTGCGTTCAAGAGAATTACGTATACAATCAGGTATACGTGAACAATTTTTTTATTTATAATTTAATATATTAGTTACATCATTTACTTATACTATAAATATGATCATATCCATTCATATAGATGAAGGGCATAAGGGAGTGAAAATGATATAAATGTTGCACGCATATTTAACATTCTTTCTTTTAGCACGTACTTTCTGATTTATTCTTCTTTGCTATATTTTTCTTAACTTGTTCCAACACCGACGTATCCTTAAAAAAGAGAGATATATATATATGAAATGCTTTATTATAATTAATGATATAAATAATGTGAGTACAATATTTAATTTATATTAACGTATATGATCAAGCATCGCATTTTTCCATTTACCATAACTGTAATAAGTAATGAGCAATCATTCGTATGTATATATTGGACGGTGCAAGCACTGTTACTATCGGAATTATTGTCTTTTATCATCCTATTAAAATTGCCATCATTCACTGATTCTGTTAAATGGATAGGCATGTTCCAGATTCTGCTCGCTCCTTTGATAAGGTTTACATTTTCCCGATAAAAATTGTAATTGCGAATATTGTTAACCAGAATATTAACTGTGCAAACACAAACATTTATTAAATATTTATTAAAATTATAATATATAAATATTTATTAAAATTAAAATATATAAATATTTATTAAAATTTATCATATATATTTAAATTATTTAATTAGTGCATCAACTTGGCCAATTATCATCAACAAGATTTACCTTCTGGATTTGATTTTTTGCTTACGTTTGCCATGCAACTTCTAATCACATTTGTTACATCCATGAGTTCGCGTATCCTTTCCTCCAACTCGACATCTCTCAGATGCTTGAACTAATGAAAGAAGAAATGAGAATAAAAAACAAAAATAAAGTATGACATGTATAAGTGTTCAGAAAAAAAGAATGAGAGAAAATTATAGCAAAAAGAATGATAATATAAAGACTACTTTTTTCACATACTTCGTATGGCATAGGATAGGAAGTCTCGAGCAACGAGGTGACCGACAGAAATCCTGGTAGTCCCTTCTTGGCAAGTCTTATATACAAATCGTCCGACAGGTAGGGTGTTACAGGTGCAAGAATGCGTAATGATACTTCCAAGCATTTCGCAAGAGTATTGGAATGCCCAGCGGAATTACCGCTTCTGAACCCAAATTTTGTACTCTCCTATATTTAAAGGAAAATATTTCTTTAATTAAAATAAAGAATTACTTTTAGATAATTTAAGCAAATTAAGATTAATAAGATTAATCATATTATTGTATGACTTATATATTTAATTAATCTTATAATTAATATTATAATTAAAATCTGGAAATTGTTTCTTAACATTCTTACAAAATTCAGAAAATTTATAAAAATCTTAAATTATTATTATATTATATTAAATAAAATTTATACAGCAGACTTATAACATACCACATAGAAATCACAAAATTCATAATACAGAAATTGACGAATTGCGGTTATCGCTTTATGAAAATTTCGTTCGGCAAACGAATTATTTACTGTTTCAACCATCCATGATAATCGACTGAGGATCCATCGATCTAAGTCATTCAGACTTTCCTTTTCTACATTTTCATATCGTTCTTGATCCTCCTTTGTCATTAATAATACATATTTGCTTGCCTGCCAGATCTTGTTGCAAAAATACTTGCTTGTCCGACAATCATCTACATCAAAACTAATAGTATGATCTATAAGAGGAAAATATCTATAAGGAAAAGAGACAAGATATATATTCTCTCTTTCTTAAGATTCTTAATGCGCTTACTTTTAATATTGCGTGTACATAATGATAGTCTCAAGGCATCGGCACCGCAATCTGGTATTCCCGTGGAATACGTTTTTGTATTAACACGCAGCGTTCGCTTCAATTCTTCAGCGCTAAGAATACCTGCTGCGTGACTACGTCTTGCTTGCTCGTTCAGTTCCTACATTACAATTGTGTCTAAGATCAATTTTTAAATAATAGAATTACAACATATCAATAAAAGAAAGCAATTTCAGTTTGTTGGTATTTAATTTTTATTACAGAGATTATAAGTATTTCTATATTATAATATATCGAAACAAATATATAATCGGTGCAATTTCGAGAAATACTCACTTCGAAGGTACAACCATTGATAATGTTTTCTGGCGAGATGACATTGCCGGAGCTTTTTGACATTTTCTTGCCATTGCCATCACACAAGACACCATGAAGTAAAACTTCCTATATGGATGCATAATTTATAATTATCAATTTAAGCACACAAAAAGAGATTGCTTCTTTTAATATCATTTTACACTTCAATGTGAATGGATTGGATTACTCAATATAATATAATATATATACAAGAATTACATCAAGGTTCTGATAAAATACTGATAAAGAGCAGACATGAATAATTTATTGTGCATGTGTAATTATACTTTAAATGGTAAACGCTGTGTCAGTTCCAGACTTAGCATCACCATTCTCGCCACCCAGAACATGAGAATATCATGGCCCGTTTCCATCAGTGTTAACGGATAATATCTTGCCATATCGTCCGTCTATAATTTTTGCAATATGTAAAAAAATATTCATAAAATTATATATATAATAAAATGTGTATAGAGAAAAATATTAAAGATTAACGTTTTCTGGCCAGCCAAGCGTGGTAAATGGCACAATTGTTGAAGAAAACCATGTGTCAAGGACATCTGGGTCCTGACGTAAATTCACTGTGTTTCCATATTTCTCTTGTGCACGAGAACGCGCTTCTTCTTCGGATCGTGCGACTATCCACGAAGTGGTGCTATTACTATCAGAGAATACATCATCATCGTTATCTTTACCATCACCATGAATTATGGAATATGCTGGAATGCGATGTCCCCACCATAACTGTCTTGAAACACACCAGTCTCTAAAAAAAAATAAATTTTTTAAAAGATAGATTAAATATTGCATTTTTTGTTTAATTATTTTTGTTCATTCCTTTATTTATTCATCTATTTAACTGCGTCTTTATCCATTTATTTAATAATTGAACACAATAATAATTTTACCTATATTTATGATTTTCGAGCCAGTTGTACCACATTTGTTCGTAAATGCCGTCCTCACTTGGATAGATTTTTAATTCACCATTCGCCACGGCTTCGTGCGCTCGCTTGGCCATTGTCGTACAGCGCAAGAACCACTGTTCCTTTGGCAAATACTCAATCACATCATGTGTGCGCGAACATAGTGGCAGTGTCATCCGATGATTATCTTCCACACCTTTCACTAAACCTCGTACGGATAGTTGGTCCATTAGTCTTTTCCGTGTGATGAATCTCGGCACTCCCTACAATGATTTATTATTAATAATAAAAAATGAATAAACCTTGTATATAGAATCACACCTTGAATTCCTTGCATGCATCTGTCATGTTGCCACTTTCATCAATAATGCTAATAACTGGCAAATCATGTCTTTTGGCGATGTTATAGTCTAAGCGATCGTGTGCCGGTGTAATTTTCACTGCACCTGTAAAACAAATACTACTCATTAATAATAATTGAATAAAATAAACAAATAAATAAAATAAAATAGTAAGTCAACGAATAATCAAGTAAAAAATAAATATATGTAAATATAGAATAGACAAAATTTTTTTTAATAATTTCTGGAAATCTCTACTTTCTTTTTATTTTTGTATTTAATGTATATATAAATTTATTCTATTTTATCAGTTTAATTTTTATAAATTTTTACCAGTGCCAAACTCTCTCTTGACTGAAGAATCAGCTATGATGGGTATAAAGGTCTCTCTTATTGGATGTAAAACGTATCGACCAATATATCGCGAATATCTGTCATCGTTTGGATGCACAGCAATTGCTACATCTCCAAAAATTGTTTCAGGCCTAGTCGTTGCAACTATCAGTTCTTCCTCTATGAAATAAAAGAAACTAAATTTATACATCTGCTAAAAAGCTAAAAAAAGAGCAGATTTTTTTTAAGAAAACCTTGATTATTTTTGTCTCTTTATATATATATATATAAACACACAAGTATATTTACTTGAATCTTTGATTGGATAGGCCAACTTGATCAACTGGCCGACAGTGATCTTATTATTGTAGCCAGGTAATTGGAGCCGCGTCTTGCCGTTCACGACAAAATCCTCGACTTCGATATCTGAGATTGTGCTGCGTAACGCCGGTGACCAATTAACAAGGTCTTTGGCTCTGTATAACAGATTTCTCTCATTTAGCCGTACAAACGTTTCCATCACTGCTGCACTGTGACTCTAGAGAGCACAAATGAAAATTCAATAATATTATAACAAGTATAGAACAAATATATAATCGTAACAATAGATATTAATATATAAATAGCAACAAAAAAGTATTACTTCATCAATGGTAAAGTATTCTCTATCCCAATCAAGCGTAGCGCCGAGGGCTTTCAACTGCTGTTTGATAACTGCAGCCTTCTCCATCTTCCATTGCCAGATCAATTGTGTAAACTCGTCACGGCCCATGTCATATCGTGTAATGTTGCGTGTACGTTGCAATGTACGTTCCACTATCGCCTGTGTTGCAATTCCCGCATGGTCTAGACCTGGTATCCACAATACTGGATGTCCCTTCATTCTGTGCCTGTATGCATGTGCGTGAGCAGTAGAGAAAAATCTATAATGGTAAATTTACTTATAGCAAACAAATGTAATGCAATAAAAACTGCATTTGATGTTAACAATGGCATGTCAAATACATATGTATATAAATTTTTACTATATTCCTTTTTATTTTTCCTATATTTCTCGATGTAAATATACTATATGGTATATAGTAAATAAATTTGGTAATAAAAATTCGAATTATAAAGTATATATATATATATATATA